CGCGATTATAAATGAGAGTGACTCCTGGTTAACGTATTAAAAGGGGTCGTGTTTAGTCACTATTTAGTGTGGTATTTTTTGACAATATTCTCTCATCATGACAGTAAAATAGGGCATTCTAAGTCAATATACTGCAGTATTTCCTCTCTCAATCAGTAGAAAAATATGGTTAACACCCGATCATGCATGGAAAAAAAAATACCGTCATGTACTGTGAAACCGGTATAATTTTGAAAAATACCGTGATATAAATTTTTGGTCATACCACCCAGCACTAGTGACACTTACGATTGGAACAATGAAAACACATCTTGATGCCATGTGTAAACTTGATTAATATGTAAATATGTGCTGCACGTTTTCCTTTCATTAACAAAATAAATGTGACAAAACAGCATTTATGAAAGCATCTAATCAAAGCAATGTGGATAGCGTGTTACCTTGATTTTTTCATGAGGTATTTTTACTTTTTAGTTTGTGTGTCTTGTTCCTAGGTGTAAAGTCAGGTAGATTCATACAAGATATTAGTCAATATCATATATAGAAAAAGCTAATTTATTAAGAAAAAAATTTGAAAGATATTGATAAAGCATATGGTGTGGCATGAAGAGAAGGATTGTTAATAAAAGCTGCTAGAATGAACTGGTGAACAGGTAAAATGCATTATTGTTTTTTACCATTTTTATTTCAAAGGACATTTGTAGTGCAGGTGGGTTCAAGTCAGTCATCTGCATTTAATGCAGAAAATGCTATACCACAGGGAAGTGTAATTAGTCCTTGAATTTTATGATTAATTATATATTTGAAAATGCAGGCCCTGTTATAGGATGTGCATTATGTGCAGATGATGGTGCTATATGGAAGAGGGGTCAAAACTTTTTGGAAGTCATTTTTTGCATGTAGGCGGCCATTAAAAAGGTGGAACAGCATACTATAGACTGGAGATTTAAAATACATGAACTAATGGAACCTTATTGTGTTAAAGTGTTACCAATATAACGTATTAAAGTGTTACCAATATAACTTATTTAGTTTGAATATAGCCTTTATAATAATTAACTTTTTAATTTGCTGTCACAAAATATGTACATTGGTGTGACACACAAACAGAACCAGTTTGGTAATTGCCTCCAGCTGAAATTGCCATAACGCCTGATGTTTGGACAGTGGCGGGCATGGAGGAGTAAAACTTAGAGCAGAGAATGCAAATTTTGTCGGAAAGAAATTAAAGTGCAATTGAGCGAGAATGATTCTGATTTGATTACATTAGTGAGTGCTGTTTCCCGAATATCAGCATGATTGGGGATTTGACATTGATTTAATTAATTCAGTAAATGAGTAGTAAACATTGTGACCCACATTTTTGAATAGAATACATTTTAAAATAGCTCCAAAAAGGAACACAGCAGAACAGTTGCGCATCTCCGAGCAGCACACAGCCGTGTTTCGTTACTGAATGATTCAGCAATTTTGAAGGAATCATTTGAGTCAATGATTCAGTGATTCATTCATAAAGACAGGCACTTGCTTCATTCTTGAAAGAATCAGCCGTCTGAATGAATGAAATGACTGAATGAATTTTGGGTTATAGTGAAAGGAGGTCATTTGTATTCGATGGTGGTTCAATTTGCACAAACAGGAACTTAATGGCTTTTCTCCAGTCATGGCCTGATTTTTTTAGTATGTCTAGCATTTGACATCTATTGGTACTTTGTTAAATAAATTTCAAAATATCTGCAAATGTATTTAGATATTTTAAGCTATCTGCTGATCCATTTCTAATTCAGAGTGATACAGTTGATTTAAATTATGTACATTTTCTCAAATATCCAATATTATCATCATTGTCAAATTGAATGGTTCATTTAAAACATAACTGGTCAAAAGTTTGGGATCAATAAGATCACGTTTTTTTAAATGTTTTTGAAAGAAGTCTCTTCTGCTCACCAAGGCTGCATTTATTTGATCAAAAATACAATAAAAACAATAATATTGGAAAATATTATTTCAATTTATCATAACTGTTTTTTATGTTAATATGCGTTAAAATGTAATGTATTTCTGTGATCAAAGCTGAATTTTCAGCATCATTACTCCAGTCTTCAGTGTCACATGATCCTCCAGAAATCATTCTAATATGCTGATTTACTGCTCAAGAAACATTTCTGATTATTATGAAAATAGAAAACACTTGTGCTGCTTCATATTTTTTTTGTGTGTGGAAAACAATATCATTCAAAAGCACCATTAAATTATTATTTTTTAAAATTCAACAAGGATAAATACAATTGACCAAATGAGCGCCAGTAAAGACATTTATAATGTTACAAAAGATTTCTATTTCAAATAAATGCTTGTCACGTGGGTTTGCACGTAGAGGAATTGTTCTCTGTGTTATTTATTTATTTTAGCCTGTAGGTGGAGTCGTGAGGAGGGATTTCTCC